TTTTACTCCTCCTTCTTCTACAAGCACTACTACTACCACCAGTGATACTGCTGCTGCTACTGCTGCTACTACTACTACTACTACTACTACTACTACTACTACTACTACTATTACTACTACTTCTAGCACTAGTACTAGTACTAGTACTGGTACTAGTACACTTCTGCCACTACTGCTACTGCTATCCTGAAGAACACCCGCCCACCCCCCCCTCCCCCCTTCCCCCCCCGACTTCTTCAGGTGTCTACCTAACGCCAACTTGATAGCAGAAATGATTTGAGGCTGGCTGGTCCTGGGCTTAAGTCCATGAATGTACCAAAAGAGGCTCTGCAAGGCCCCTTGTTCTTTGAAGAACTGCCATTGGGGGGGTCCATGTTATTTGGGGCAAGGTAGTTGGTAGATATTTACGCCCAGAGAAGTTGCTTTTCACGTGCTGTCGGTGGCCCAGATATGTACCACGCATGCGATGTAAGTGGATACTGTGAGCCCAGACATGTATAGTGGATCAGCTGCTGAAATGCCAGTGTACGCTTTCAAGCCTAAACCCTACACCCTTAGCCCAGAACCAGTCAAGTGGTATAGCTTCATGGCAGGGCAGCCACCGCAACTGCAGAGCTTTCATAAACTCATTTGAGCTGCCTAGCATTGCAGAACCTTCTCTGAGAGGCCTGTAATTTGGCGTGTACCCAGAAAGGTTCTTGATAATTCCCACCCTGAACGCGTTTTGGAAGCTTAGGCCCTTGCTCTCATACCATGACCCTAGACCAAAAAGTGTCAGAATTAAATTCTATCCTCGCCAAACCACACAAGGAACCTGAAAAGACGTGAGCTCGTAGCCGAGCAAAGTTTGCGTAGCAGGGGCATGTGTGATGCTACATGGGCTTCTATCTTAGTCGGGGAGAGTGTACACAACCCTCCGGTGCCAAGCAGCGCATGGCCCATGGCGTCCCGAAAGATTCCACGATACCTGCGCGTTTGATTCAGAGCAATCAGCAACCAGGCCGGAGCTTTAAATCTTAAACATTCCCACAGTGGATAGGGGAAATCTTTCAACACTGTATGTGCTTGATGAGCCTTGTACTCTACAGGAATGGGAGCAGTGCACGTCCTAAGCGGTGCGAGACTTCCTGCACCCACCATATTCCGTGACAAACAAGAATCGTTCGCGTGTGTTTCAAAGGTCCAATAGCTCATCCTAAAAAGTCGGTCAATGTAGAATGACTAGCTACTGCATTTTAACCATCACTGTCATTACCATTGCCATTATAATTCTCATCATCGTTATTTGTAGACAGTCTTCCGACCCCCATCAGCTGGGAGGTGAGCTGCTACCTATGAAGCTGACAGTCCCAAGGCTGTCCAAAGAAAGAATAGGCACTGTGTAACGTAGATATGCCTGTGCTTTTTGGAGCTGAGCCGTCAGACCTGCAATTCTGAGCATCACTGGTCTATACCTAGGATAGCCAGCTGAAGTAAACACGTGTTTTTGAGGAACCCTCAACGCAAGCCAAGACAAATATTCGAACTAAGCCCATGATAATAACGCTGTAGTCGTCTTGCGCCTGAGTAAGGCCAGTGTCTCTCTAAGCAACCTAATCTTCTGCCAACATCAGCTCAGGGTCGATTCGCAAAGCTGTGCGACCATCAGGTTCATCAGAAAGATGTGCCAGCATGCGCCGAATGCCATGATCCACCATTTCAGGGGCACCTGAGACATACAGGTTTTCTTGAAGGCTGGGCAGTTCAGTAGGTGCTTGAAAACCCTGATCGCAAGCCACCCTAGTGTTCCACCTAATGATGATCCAAGATACTTATGTTACAAGTGGATGTGAATTCATAGTGCTACCATATTGGACATGAATTTACTGGGGCTGGCCAAGCCGGTCATGAATCCCACCGCCTGAGTCAACCACCCCGAGCCCCCTAATCACACAACATCTCAGTACCATGCCATTGTACAAAAGGGAGAACTTATTCATTACGAGGAGGATGGGATTTCCCTGCTTTGAGGGACTCTGGAGACCCAAACCAACAGTCATGTCAGGCTTTCTCACGTCCGGTGGCGCCTCGTCTGCTGTGGCGATCTCCTCATAATTGTTTCCGCCATACCTAGGTTGAAGCAATTGAATTTAAAGTTTGTACGCTAGACTCATACACCCCATGGGACAAATCCCATAAAAAAAAGTACCCCTAGAAGGAATTGTACGCGAAACTGGGATTTCTTAGAGGGTCTGTCCTATCTGGGCTGCCTGGACCACAGGATGGATGCTAGGATCAATCAGCCAGGGAACATACTCAACGCCATGGATAGGAGCGATTGAAACGCCGACCTTGACTGCTGACATCGCTGCTAAAAGTCCAGGAACCTAAGTAATTACAAGAGCACATCTTCGCAGAGCACCGGGATTACAAATTCAAAGCGCTTTTCCCCACATTCTTGCGGTGCTGCGTCTTGCTGCTGCTGCTGCTGCTGCTGCTGCTGTTGCGCCAAGATGCGGCCAGTTGTAGAAGTCACGCAGCTGAACGCTGTCATCTGCTCCTGTTGAGTTGGTCATTGATTTGCGTGGTTAAAATGGGAGTGTTGCTGGTACTAGAGACCACGAGACCCCGGGATAAACCCGGAACTATAGCGCAACAACCTTCTCTACAAAAACTCCCGGACCGGATTCCTAAATCTTGTATACCCCCTTAAGACTGAAAGGTATAACTGCCTAGAATAGGTAACGTAACTTGACGTTCCCAAACAAAGCCCCATCACACAAAAAAAGATTCTGCCTGTTTGAGGCAGGCATGCAATAGCACTGGCAAACGCCGTGGCCAGAAATGTCAGCGCTCCCAAGTACAGCACGAACTCCCACCATAGACTCCTTTGGGGATCTGAAGACCGGGATTTCACAAACATTACGTGCAGCCGCAGGGAATCTATAGGGCCTATAGGGATCAATTTGAGAGACTTCCCAAGAAACTCCTCCTTTCGACACGGAGTGTAGGACTTTGGGTATGTGGTGTGCAAGAGCCAGTGATGTCCCCAACCCAGTTCCCCCGAAGGAAATTCAAATAATGTGTTTGAGTTTGGGGCTTCGGGGTGGTGAGTGGTGAAAAGCACTGGCAGCAGCTGCTGCGGCTGAAGTAGGAGCAGCTATCGCAAGGCGATGATCGCAAAGAGATCCCTGTGGCATTTTGCATCAGGACTCAAACAGGTAAGGTGAAAGCATTACAGTAGAAGCAGTATCAACACTTACAAAGCGGGAAACACAAACTTGCAAAACAAAGTACTGACATGTGATGAAAAAGCGGCAGCGGAGCTGTGCGGCAGCAAGCCAACCAAAGACTGATGCGAGCTTCTCGAAAGTGACTAACGCGCAAACATATCAAGGCATCCTCCCTCCCTCTTCCCCCTATTTGCGGAGCTATTTGCAACTGTGAGAGTTTTTTATAAGGTATAGGCCGGGTGGCTCCTGTTCAATGACTGCGGGTGGACATTTGGACGTTTCAGTGCCTTGCCTCAACTTAAGAGTGAATTTTGGTAGCTTGTGGGCAATCGCTAGGAATGAGCTATGCGATTTGATCAAGATTATCGCCAGATAGTTGCGCAGGGACACCCAGCATCTCATTGCAATCCCCCGAAATCACTGGGTCCACGGGCTACCCTCTTTCTTGAGAAGCCCCCAAATTGCCAAACACAGAAGTGATACAGATACTGACCTTTCAGGCTTGAGCATTCTGGGCAACACAGTACCTTGATGGGGGATCTTCAGTAATGAACACAGCTCAAGTGAAAAGACAAACACTGCCTGCATCAAAGGCTCGTACAAATGACAGCAAAGCTGGACAGGTGGATGTTGAGATGGATGAGGTCTGCTGCAAGCACGAAGTAAAGAAGCATCGGGATTGTCGAAATGCGATCGTAATTGTCGGAGAGGCTGCAGTAGAACTCGCCATGCTCACAGCAGTTGGTGACCCATCGGTCGTCGACATTGAGGCAGTGCAAGAACGGCTCCATAGCCAGCATGCACATCAAGAATAAAGCCAGCACAAATTCCACAAACTCTTGTCTAGAGGAGAAAAGGTATGCAGGTAGAGGCACGCGCTTCAAACACCGCACTGTCCGCGCTTCTTTGTAAGCGCTTGATACCTGCGCCGTATGCTTGATAAACAGCTGGCCAAGACTGAAGATGTACCTGGCTCTTTGAAACAGGGCGTTGCTAAACATAGAGGCATCCAGGGACCCCAGGAACACCTAATTAGGAATTGTTCAAGCCCGGTATGGGTCTGGAGTTGCACACGGATATATCGACAGAGTTGCAAAGTAAATTCCATCAATGTCTAAAATAACGTGCCTCAGCTTCCAGCAGAATATTCATGTGCGCAGAAAGAACTACATGTGGGTATTCCAAAGCTAAAAAGTCGAAACCCTAAACATCACCCTCTAAACCTCAAATTCCACAACCCTACTAAACCCTCCAGCCAAAACTCGTTTCCAAATCTACGTGCCCAGGTACATGAACAGCCGACATCCGATCAAAGCAAACCTGCCCGGCCCTGCCGAGTCGAACATGAGGATGCCGTACCTGGAGGGTCATGAAGAGCTTAGTTCAACGGCGGTTCAGAGAGGGATTATATTGGGAGAGTTTGGGTGGCAATAGCGGGGAATTAAATGGAGCAAGGGACGAAACCTGAAATGCAAAATGGGATACTGAAGGGAAATTAGGGCTTACACGTAATATGAACAACTAATTAGCGTTAAACACAACACCAAGAATATGTGATTTCAGGGCAATTGTAGGGTATCACATTGTTGGAGCGTGGCTCATTTTTCCTACTGTACCTTCGGAGCAGAGGATTTGGAGCAAAAATGTTTACCAAAATCCTTGCCCCCCCCCGCTACCTACACCTCAAAAAAAAACCGAGTAGAGGGACCTCCCAAACAAGGACGCCTACCTAGTGGAAACGCATGCACTTGAAGGCTACAAGGTGGCGAGGAAGCTGCATTATATAGGGATGCGCTCCTAATGAGGGCTTACGGCTTCGGATATTAGCTTTTGGAATCAAATTTTCTAGCATCATGGGAAGGGACCCGCATTTCAAATGAATACCTCTCTCCCACTAAGTATGGGTACGCCGGTATATGCGCAGCGGAGAGCAGCCACACTTTTATGATGGGTAACCCAGAAACCTGTAAAAGCAAACGTTGCTGCTTGCTCAAGGCAACTGCAAGCCCACGATGAAATCCAGCAAAGTCAGCACGAACCACAGTTTGGTTATGATGAAGGCTAGGCAGCACATTCCTGACTTCAGCTGTTTGGCATTAGGGTTCAGGGTCCAGGGCTTGTGCGCGTTCTGGACCTTTCAAGGCCTAGGCCTTTGGACTTCAGCTGGAATGCAGGAATGAATCTCTAGACCTGTCCCTGTGAAACCAAAAGTTATACCTTATGCGGGTATACCAGATGTCAGGGAGGGTCCTCTTGCATAGACTTAACATACTATGGCCCAGTCTTGAGGAGTTGCTGGGAAAAGGGACCCTTTTTGTGCCGGAAATGCTCATATAGACTTCTGCAAGCCCTTTTAATTTTGCTGCGAGAAGATTCTGGACCAGAGGAGATCGAAGACGAAGCGAGTGCATGGGTGGCACAGCAGATTCGGATCTCCGTGCTTCACCAGCCTGGAATACTTCTGGAAAAATCTTTCACCATTGAATGTCACTAAAAGTTTCAGGACTGTGTTCTACGCAATGACTGCGGTGTAGAATTTCTTCGGTACAAAGTACAAGAATGAAGGCCCGCTCATCGGGATGCAGTTTAAAACCTTAAGCTTAAACCGTAAACCTGATGCCATGGGAGGCTTCCTCCCAAATCAGTTGTGATATGCCATAACCCCTGCTATAGATGTCTCTCAAAAAGGATCCCAATTGTTTTGAAAAGTTTATGTTTCACAAGTCGAGCGGCTTCTGCATGGAGGGTGCAAGCGCTCCCTCTTCATCCACGAGCATGCGACCAATGTAGTAGTTGACCCTTCGCATCCTGGATTCAGGCTTTGCCCTGGGGCTCTATGGTCTACGATACCTTGTTTGGGTCCTGAAGTCAATACGTAATACCGTAATACTTACGTTGGGCTATTTGGAGACACCGACACTTGATGTATCCCCAAAACGAAAGCAATCCCACCCAAAAAGCTTTGAAGCTGTTAAGCCTGGCGTCCCTCCTTTGATTTGCTTGGATCGCCACATCATGCCGTCCAGGAGATGCTCCATCAACCTGGAAGATGGCCTTTAACACCCTTGAGCACACCATTACGGATGCTACGGCTTTAGGTTTTAGAGCATTAGCCTGAGTACCTCATGCCTCGGGAATGATCGTATTCAAGAATGCTAAGATCATGCAGGCTTTACATTGACAACTGTATTCTTTGGGATGAATTGCTATTTAGTCACGTCTTGAGGTCTCAAAATAAGGATTACCACGCTTTACTTTTTAGGAATACCCTCTGGTAAGATCAACGAAGATAAATGGAATATTGCAAAACATTGAAACATAACAGTCATGGATAGGGAACCTGCGGAGGATACGTGCGAATTGCAGCTATAGGGGGCGGGTGTCAAACAAGTGTTTTTGGGGTTGCCAATGTAATACAGCCCCCACAGTACTGTTGTGTGTACCGTAATGTCGGACCCGCTTATGCTCGGGCACTCGCTTTAACGTCAAGTTTCGGGGGCTTATTCAGTTTTTGGGATATGTTTGGGGACCCGGTTTAATGTCAAGTTTTGGGGCCAGAATACGTAATACTAGGTCTCAAAACATAAAACAAAAAGTTATAAATGGTTATGATTTAATTACTTATTTGCTTTATGATACTAATACTAATACTAGTACTAATACTAGTACTGATACTAATAATGGTAGGATTCAACTCAGACCCCTCAAACAAACTTTAATTCAGGACGCGTATTTTTTTTTGGGGGGGGGAGGGGGGGGGGGACTACACACTAAAGGGAGTGCAACATTAGAGCGGACCATGATTTAGAAAATTCCCCAGATGCAATTTATGCAATTTGTGTTGGCTCTGACTGGTTAGGGGACACCTAGATTTTAGGTCCTGGTTTATACCATATGAAGAAGTGACATGTATGCTGGACAAAAAAGCAAACCGCCTTTTGAGGCAGCACCTCAAAAGTTAAGGGCCAAGTTTTGGGAGTCCGCATGGTGAGGATTATGGAAACCCTTGTACCCGAAAGCGAACCGAGTCACGAGGGCGCTTGCCTTGGCTCTTGCCAGGTAAGAAGGATAAATGGCGTGGGTGCGTGTGTTTTGGGATTAGGGTGGGTAATGGCTAAGCAGCACAAAATAAAAACGACAAAATCACAAACTGGCATTGATGTGGAAACCCAGAGTAGCAAGGTGTTCAGAGAGGTTCTGCAACTCAGCCTTGGGGTTGATACAGCAGTTCTTACCTTCGATGCAGATTTCCTGCATGTTCATGACCGTTTTCGAATGGGTGCAGTATCCAAGCAAAAGCTCAAAGTAGATCCAGAGTCTTGAAGATTTGATTACGCGGAAAACGGTTCTGTGCTGTTGCCAATTGGGAAAAGATACACGCTTGGCGGTTGTTCTAGATCCTATTCCACAACCCGAATGATGCAGAGGAGTTCTAAATGGATCTGGAGGCCCTATTTCGGGATTGTATAAGGCTTCTCTTGTGAAGAGTCCAGAAGTGAATGGGTTCCCCAACATATCTGCTCTCCCTCAGTCTCGCAAACTAACACGGAACCCCAGGCAGCCCCCCACGGTCAAAAGTATGAAGTTAATGTCTGTTAGTCTAGCATCCCTTCTTTCCGAATGTCATCCTGGTTGTGACACACAAGATTCCGTTGACCCGGAACAAACATCAAACCAAAAAAGAGGAGACCCTAAACCCCTCACCGCGAGCCCCTGAACCTGAAACCGCAAGCCCTTTATCTTACGGGACCTTAGGAGGGAATAGCGGAATAGAGAGATGCAGGGAAAACATTGCCTTGTTCCCAACTAACCACCAGCAAGTAATCCCTGAGCAACCCCTTTTGCTGCAGGCGCTGGCTTCAGGCCTGTGGTGCACCAAGTCCCTGACCTTTGAACCCTCAAGCCAGAATCCTAAAACCAACCCAAACCCACCCCTAAGCCTTATCCTGCTTAATCCTAACTCCCTGAATCCTATAAATCTACATACCATCTCTGTCTTCCACCTTCACGAAAAATGCCAATCCCTCAGCACCTTCATCTCTCAACCCCATAAACCTTGAAGCCTAGACACTATCAAAGCTAAATTGAAAACCCTAAACCCCAAACTCTGAACCCTACATGGATCCCTCAACCTCGTCTGCAGCCATGGCATCTTGCACAGCAAGGGGACAATGTCCGGATGCCGCTCCCAGAGACCTTCCATGCCTTGGGACGCGGCATGTCACACGATGAAGGGCTTGGGGTTTAGGGTTTGTAGGGTTTGGGGTTTCTGGGGTTTTGGGCTTATGGGGTTCTGGGTTGCATAAGCCTTTTCATGCCTGGTAACAATGAACCGCATGGAAAATGAAATGGGAAATTGGGTTTACAGGATTTTGGTGGCACCACGCCCTAAAATTAGGAGCTTATGACCATCATCGGGGTAAGCAAAGCGCCTTATTGCCTGGGACTGCTGTAGAACAGAGGGTCTCGGGGTTCAAGGTTGTAAGGCCTGCATTGTAGGGGTTTTGTTTTTACACTTTGGGTTGCTTTTTGGCAGTCTAGGGGTGTAGGGCTGAGGTGCCAGTGATCTAGCGGGCTCAGAGCGCCTTCTTGAAAGATCTGGTAATTGGGGCCTTTTTTTGTGACATTACGTGCAAGAGCGAGCAGCAGAAAAGTTTAGGACCTGGGACCTTGGGTTTGGTGTTCAAGCAGCTTTGGGTTTCAGAGTCTGGGGGCCTTGGGGTCTTAGCAAGGACTGATATCCCAACAAGACTGGGAATGCAGGCTCTGGCCAGGGCTCAAGGTTTAGCCACACTGCAAATACATGAAGCTAAATCACAGTCAGATTCTTTGCGCCTTGTACGATATTTTTCCACAAGCCGTAAGCTCGCTATCGGTAAAAACTAAAGCAGGTGCCCCTAGAGTTTGCCACGTTGATTAGCGCAGTTGGTGGACAAAATCCTGCATGACCCTGAGCATACCCAGGGAGCTCAATATCCCTGAGTTCAGGAATGTACCTACAAACGCAATAGGGTTCCCAGGGCTATTCGGGTTATGATGCTCGAATTCCGTGTATTGGGCCATCTTGGGTAGCATACCGCCATAGAGCAAATAGGGTTCAGGTATACGGAGTCATGCAGGATTTATTCGGTCAACAATGGCATTCGCGTCGTTGGCTCAGGACATGTTTAGCAATTTTGGGGTGACAAAACAGACGGCCACATGGCGTGGGCTATCCTTTGTGCACCGGCCAGTGGAGAACATGTTTAGAAACTCCATTTTAAAACCACTCGCATCCCCCACTCCCTACCGAAGCCTCTTTTGCTGCTGCCAGATACGAGGCTCCAACGTCCCGTTGATGAGCACTACTGACAACTGGCTCATTCTCCAGATATGCCAAAGCCAGCTTTCAGGAACTATATCATAAAACGCTACAACTAACGGCCAAGCCCTGAAACCCCAAATCCCAAACCCTGTTCGGCCACGGTGCCATAGTAGTATCGAGCACGGTCAGCTCGGATAGTCAGAAGATCCTTGAGGATAGCCTTGCTTCGTGGGACCCTCGGGAACCTGTTTAGAAAGTGTTACAATAGGGTACTTATGGAGATTTGGTTTATAATCCCCACTTCAGGATCCATCAAAGTCGCAAGCCTGCCGAGGTTCGAAAAATCGATTACCCATACAGGGTGCCCAGTGTCCCTTTCAAGAAGACACATTAAGTCGTATTTGGTCGTATTAGAGTTCTCCTATCACTAAAGGTTTCTCCCTACTTAAGAAACATAATTACTCTAGATGAGATGATGCTAGGATCCCCATCGTGCTTGTAGGCATGCTCCTTACTTCCGGGATACTGTGCTCCGTGCTTTTGAAAGACTACAGTTCCAAGCGGTATGTAGAAGATGGGGCTGAGCTCTCAGGCACCTTGAGATGTCAGTGTGATACAAGGCAGGGGTCAATATTTCATTTTGGGAAGGTCTTATGCAAAGTCCATGGGCGGGACGGATGCATGCAAGATAGGAAAAGTGAGAGTAAACATGGCCGTGGGGAACAAACTAGTCATCGCAGCTCCAGTAAGATAGCCAAACCAAATAAACATGGTGCGGAAGGAAAGTTCTGTACAAGTTGTACTACGTAGTGTTTCGCTAGCTTTGCGGCAAAGTTACAAAGTTAAGAAGGGGAATTTTGCTCGGTGCTGCCGTAGCAAACTTTATCAAAATACGCTGCCCTCTTATGTGTCCCTGTGTCCCCAGAAGAAGGGCCATAAGCTTCCGGCGGTAGGACAGGCCTAGCTAATTTTTGGACTCCGACAAGATGGGTGTATCTTTTGGCACGCCTAAGCTGGGGAACACTGGCGACATGCCCCCTGCTTGAGATACTGGCACGAAGCTAAAAACCTCGCAGCGGCAAATTCTGACCAAAGGTCTACGCGAAACAGTGCACGAAGCTACTTGCGGGCAGTCTCAGTCTTTTGGAAACCAGGCAACAAGCGCCCATTAGCGCCCATGACTGCAACATATCAAACCTAGAGACTGCACAAACTTGCCTGGAATATCCACCGGCTCCAGAAATCAGGAGCCTGCCTTGCACACAGTCAACCAGGAACAGCATCACATAATCCCTGAATTCCCTCTTGTAATCACCATGACATCCCTGGATAAGCCATGCGTGATCCCTTCAGGTAACCGGCGGACCCTGAGTCAAGATAACCCAAGTATCATGGAACTTTAAGCACAAAATACCACAGCATCGGTGAGTCTTGGTACTTGAAATCGTTGTATTCGGGCACATGCAAAGGTTTACAGGCTCAGGGATTTCTCTGGATCAAAAA